AACCCATAAAACCTATTCAGGCCAGGCCGGCTTGCTGAAATAAAAATGTCTTCAGGGCCTTACGGAAAGTGCGGAGATCCGGAATCAGCCGTATTCCGGGAGGTAGCTCGTTCCACAGGGCGGGTGCCCCCACAGAGAAGGCTCTCCCCTTGGGGGCCGCCAGCCGACATTGCTTGACCGACGGAACCCTGAGGAGGCTCTCTCTGTGAGAGCGTATTGGCCGGTGGGAGGTTATCGGTAGCAGCAGGCGGTCTCGTAGATACCCTGGCCCTAAGCCATGGAGCGCTTTAAAGGTGAGAACCAACATCTTGAAGCGCACCCGGAAGACCACCAGGAGCCAGTGCAGCTCGCGCAGGAGAGGTGTTACATGGGAGCGCCACATCGCTCCCATAATCACCTGTGCGGCCGCATTCTGGACCAGCTGGAGCCTCCGGGTGCTCCTCAAGGGAGGCAGAAAACCCTACACCATTTCCATAACAAATGGTTATCCAACCTATTCCAGTGTTTAGAGATTTACAACTTCAGGAGGCAAGTTGTTCTACTCATTAATTGTTCTAACTATCAGGAAGTTTCTCCTTAGTTCCAGGTTGCTTCTCTCCTTGATTAGTTTCCACCCATTGCTTCTTGTCCTGCCTTCAGGTGCTTTGGAGAATAGCTTGACTCCCTCTTCTTTGGGGCAGCCCCTGAGATACTGGAACACTGCTATCATGTCTCCCCTAGTCCTTCTTTTCATCAGACTAGGCATACCCAGTTCCTGCAACCATTCTTCATATGTTTTATTAAAGTTCTCTCTATCCTATCAAGGGCTGAAAAAGTGAGCAAAAGGGAATAAAATAAATAACCAGCCCACCAAGAATAAGAGCAGAAGGACTCCAGGTTGTGCGTAACACTAAGCAACGGAGGGGAAAAGGGAATTTGGGTGTAAATCACTTGCAGCGAGAAGCCCGGAAAAGGGAGATTAAAAAAAACAGCTTCCCAGCCAGAAAATTCTGGCAGCTGCAGCCAGGAAAAGCTTCTTGTGAATAACATCACTAAAAAAGAAGCTAAGTTTGGCTGAATGCTGGTTTACGGGGAAAGCGATTGCCTTTTGTGGTCTGAGGTGGTTTATTAAATTGCTACTGGTGGGAGATACCAGCTAGGAAGGCCAGGCAGTGGATGGGAAACCCTTCTCTCCAGAAAAGAAGATAGTTTTCCAGGTATTACTTGAGGAACATCAGCAGGGGATGGTCAAAATCCAGCTGTTGGATTTCCAAGTGGTCTCCTATTCTCCTGTCCTCCTTAGCATTGGAGATCAGCCAAGGTTGGCTCAAGGCTGCCGCCTTCTGTTGATCTAAGGAACAGAGGAGGTTTACAAATTTAATCTCTGTTCATTTTAAAATTGAAGGTTTTTTAGGATCTCGTGCATGTTTTTACGACGGGGTAAGCAAGACGCCCTGCTTTGCTTGACAGTGAGATGGATGGCATATGAATTCAATCAATGAACAAATAAAATATTCAGAGAATAATATACCTGTGAGAGAACTCAGGTTTGAAATACAGGTGGTTCTTGATTCACTACCGTCCATTAGTGACTATTCAAAGTTTCACCCAGTTAAAGGTAATAGAATAGAATAGAATAGAATAGAATAGAATAGAATAGAATAGAATAGAATAGAATAGAATAGAATAGAATAGAATAGAGTAGAATAACAGAGTTGGAAGGGACCTTTGAGGTCTTCTAGTCCAACCCTCTGCTTAGGCAGGAAACCCTACACCACTTCAGAGTGACAAATGGTCCAACTGGAAGTTGGCAAATGGGCCATTTTCGGCCTCCAGAGGGCCTCCAGGTGGGGTGGGGAAGGCTGTTTTCGCCCTCCCCAGACTCCTAGAAAGGCTCTGGAGGCTGGGGAGAGCAAAAAATGGGCCTACCATGCCATCGCGTGCCAGGAGCGTGGGGAGCATGGGGGGGTGGTCACGTGTGCATGCATGGGGGCAGGGTGCATAGAATTATGGGTGTGGGCCCGCGCGCACGCAACCCCTCCCCCCGCTCCTGTCACATGATGGCAAAAAAGTTAGCCATCACTGTCCTATACCACTAAATGGTTATCTAACATTTTAAAAACTTCCAGTGTTGGAGCATTCACAACTTCTGGAGGCAAGTAGTTCCACAGATTTAATTGTTCTAACTCATACCAATGAGCGTTTTAGTAGGACATAAATTTCCCAGTCATGACAGCTACTACACAAAGGAACCGTCGTTTTCCTGGAGTTGTGAGGGCACCATTCCTGGAGGATTTCAAGCATGGTTGGGGGGGGCAGCCATTCGTCTGGGATTCCTCCTTGGGTGGGAGGAGGGGCTGGACTAGAAGACCTCAAGGTGGCTCAGCAGACTAAAAGCATTGTGATTAACACCAGCTGTCTGCAATTACTGTAAGTTCGAATCTCACCAGGCTCAAGGTTGACTCAGCCTTCCATCCTTTCTAAGGTAGGTTAAATGAGGACCCAGTTTATGGGGGCAATAAGCTGACTTTGTATAAATATACAAAAGTGTGAAGGCTATTGCTTAACGCACTGTAAGCCGCCCTGAGTCTCCGGAGAAGGGCGGCATATAAATCAAATTAAAAAAAAAAAAAAAAGGTCCCTTCCAGCTATCTCTACCTAGGATTCTTTACCAAGGCCGGAGGCAATAGACCAACTATGTGGTAGCTATACCGTGTTTCCCCGAAAATAAGGGTCTTATATTAGTTTTTGCTCCAAAAGACGCATTAGGGCTTATTTTCTGGTTAGGGCTTATTTTGGGGGAAATCCGGTACTAAATGCACCCATCTGGCTGACAATCTTAACTGGGGCTTATTTTGTGGGGTGGCCTTATATTACGAGCATCCTGAAAAATCATGCTAGGACTTATTTTCCGGTTGGGTCTTATTTTCGGGGGAAACAGGGTAGCAAAGACTGAACTTCTGGCTGGTTTTTTTTTTTTTTTTTCCATTTTGGGGAGTTAGGCAGAGGGAAGTAAAACAAAACAGATGGCGTTGTAATATTCCTATTATTTATTTCTAAAGCCTCAAATTGGGCTGTCAACGTTTTCTGCCAAATGTTCTGCCAAATTTCATCAGAACAATCTTGGTGGGATGATGGGTCACACAGGCAGCTGGTGGACAGAAAGCAATTCTGAAAAAGGTCTTTCCAGATCCCTAGCAGTGGGTGTGAGAAGGAAAGTTTTTTTTTAATTTAAAAATATTTTTTTAAAATTTATGCAATAGATCTTTTTAATCTCACCTTTACATGTAACATACATACATAAAACTCCTTCTTCTTCTTATTTCCCACATGACAACAATCCTGCGATGTGGGTTGGGCTGACATAAAGGGATTGGCCCAAATGGTTAAGGTGGGACTAGAACTCACCGTCTCCTGGTGATTGGCCCAAAGTCACCCAGTTGGTTTTCATGCCTAAAATGAAACTAGAGCTCCCCATCTTCTGGTGATTGGCCCAAAGTCACCCAGTTGCTTTTCATGCCTAATATGGAACTAGAAATCACCATCTCCTGGTGATTGGCCCAAAATCACCCAGTTGGTTTTCATGGCTAAGATGAAACTAGAACTCACTGTCTCCTGATAATTGGCCCAAAGTCATGCAGCTGGTTTTCATGCCTAAAATGGAACTAGAACTCACCGTCTCCTGGTGATTGGCCCAAAGTCACCCAGTTGGTTTTCATGCCTAATATGGAACTAGAACTCACCATCTCCTGGTGATTGGCCTAAAGTCACCCAGTTGCTTTTCATGCCTAATATGGAACTAGAACTCACCGTCTCCTGGTGATTGGCCTAAAGTCACCCAGTTGCTTTTCATGCCTAATATGGAACTAGAACTCACCATCTCCTGGTGATTGGCCCAAAGTCACCCAGACGACTTTCATGCCTAAAATGGAACTAGAGTTCACAGTCTCCTGGTGATTGGCCCAAAGTCACCCAGACGACTTTCATGCTTAAAATGGAACTAGAACTCACCGTCTCCTGGTGATTGGCCCAAAGTCACCCAGCTGGTTTTCACGCCTAAGGTGAAACTAGAACTCACCGTCTCCTTGTGAATGGTTTAAAGTCACCAGATGACTTCCATGCCAAAGGTGGAACAACAACACTGAAGAAAGTGATTTATGACAGGTTTTCACACTTATGACTGTTGCAGCATCCCCAGGGTCACATGATCAAACTTCAGGTTCTTGGCAATTGTTATGTATTTAGGATGGTTGTGGTGTTCCGGTGGGGTGTGTGTGTGTGTCACGTGATCACCATTTGTCACCTTCCTAGCTGGCTTCCAATAAGCAATATCAATGGGGGAAGCCAGACTTGCTTAATGACTGCATGATTCATTTAACAGCTGCAGTGATTCGCTTAACAACTGTAGGAAAAAGGTCATGGGAAAAATCCCTTAACAACGGGCCTCATTTTAGCAACAGAAATTTTGGACTCAGTTGGGGTTGTAAGTTGAAGACTACCTATAACCGTGATGGTGAATCTATGGCTCGCGTGTGTTGCCCTAGCTCAGCTCCGCCAACTGATTTTCGGGCCTTCTGGGCCTACCGGAAGTCAGGAAATGCGCCATTTAAGGCCTCCGGAGGGTCTCTGAGGGGGTGAGGAAGGCCGTTTTTGCCCTCCCCAGGCTCCAACAAAGCCTCTGGAGCCTGGGGAGGGTGAAAAATGGGCCTACCGGGCCCACCAGTAACCGTTTTGCCATCGCGTGCCAAAAGCGGGGGGGGGGCCACAGCGCCGGGGGGCATTGAATTATGGGTGTGGCCATGGACGCAATTGATCCCCCCCCGGCGCGACCCCCACTTTTGGCACACGACGGCAAAAAGGTTAGCCATCACTGACCTATAACCTGCTCCATGTCTGGATAAAGTTAGAGGTTTCCTGTTTTTAAGGTTTCAAATCTACGAAACCTCTTCAACAGACCAAGAATCTTGGCTTGTGCCAAACTGGATGTAACCTTTCCCCCCCCCCTCCCTTTCTCTTGAAAGATCACCCAGCTGAAGATAGAGAATAACCCGTTTGCCAAAGGCTTTCGAGGGAGCGACGACACTGACCTCCGCGTGGCAAGATTACAAAGGTGGGGTGAAGGAAAATTTTTAAGAAACGTCTGGAAATATTGTTTACGGAGATCATTCAGGTCATGGTTTGTCCCAAAGGTGCTTGAAAACGTTACGCTTTTCATCCCGGAAGCTGAACTGAACAGAACTGAAGAAGCTTCTGGGATGAGAAGCGAAACGTTTTCAAGGAAAACTACCAAGGAAGTCCAGTTGCCTTTTGGTAATAAAAGCACTTTGGGAGTCTTGAAAAATTATATTCTAAGTCAGCGGTGTCAAACTGGATTTCTTCGAGGGCCGGAACAGCATTGTAGTTCTCCTCAGCGTGCCGGAGGGGTCGGGGGGTCGGGGAGGGGGTGTTCACGGGACGGAACCTGCTGTCCAAAATGGGGCCTGGGGGGCTGCATGCCCCCACAGTGGCCTATTATTGGCCTCCATGGCTAAACAGGCCCTTATCTGAAATGGTATTGGTTTTCCTGCGGGCTGGACTAGAAGACCTCCAAGGTCCCTTCCGGCTCTATTCTAAATTCTATTTCCGCTAACGTTTGCAGCAAAGAGTATCCCGTGATCTCGAAGACCATCATGAGGCAGAGGTTGGTCTCCACGCACGGCCAACTCTCCGCAAAATCGGACCTCAGTCCGCCTCACGGAAGCCACCAAGGTCTCCACCACTACCAGTACGAGAACGGCGCCCACATGCAATTCGCCAGCTCAGATGCTCAGGACCTGCCCCTGAACACCTTCCCAGCACAGAGGGAATCTGGGCTTTTCTACCACTGTCTGAAACGGAGAGGTAAGGCCAGGGGGGGCGGGCTTCAAAAATTTTAAGAAGGGGTTCTCTGCCCGGTTGCTGGTGGGTGTGACCATGGTGGGCGTGGCCTAGTCGGCCTCCTGCATCATGGCCGGGGGGTGGGCTTTTTGCCCTCCCTGGCAGGGGTGGGTTCTAAATTTTTTTACTACCGGTTCTGTGGGCGTGGCTTATTTTGTGGGCGTGGCTTGGTGGTGGGGTAATGTGACTGGGTGGGCGTGGCCAACTTTTTTTTTTTTACTTTTAAAAGCATTTTTTCTACAACCTGAAGAGGTTGCAGAAAAAAATGCTTTGAAAAGCCTCTGACGATCAGGCACTCAGCCGGGATCGCCAGAGGCTTTTAAAGGCATTTTTTTTTTCCTACAACCTCTTTGGCCAAAGAAGTTGTAGAAAAAATGCTTTTAAAAGCCTCTGGCAATCCCAGCTGAGTTGCCTGATCGTCAGAGGCTTTTAAAAGCATTTTTTTGGCCAAAGAGGTTGTGGAAAAAATGCTTTTAATAGTAAAAAAAAAAAAGCCTCTGATGAAGTGGGCGGGGTAAGCGAGCGGCAACCGGGCCGGGGACCGGCTTGGGAGCATGGCCAGCCAATGTTATTACCGGTTCTCCGAACTACGACAAATTTTTTACTACCGGTTCTTGCGAACCGGTGCAAACCAGGAGCAACCCACCAGTGCTCCCTGGGCTCTGGAGGCTTTCCTCCAGTCTCCAGGAGGGTGAAAATGGCCTCCCCAGGCTCTGGAGGCCCTCTGGAGGCCCGAACTTCTGGTAGGTCCGTTTTTTACCCTCTCTGAGTCTCCGCGTGCGCACTGCACTTATCTGCATCCAAAATGGGCCACATGGGGACTCCTGGGAGGGGCAGGGCGGGGTGGGCAGGGCCAGCCAGGAGTGGGATTTGGGGGTTCTCCGAACTGCACAGAATCTTAGCTAGAGGTTCTCCTGAATCCTACGAACCCAGAGGGGGGGGAGAGATTTTTGCCTTTTAAATAAATTAATTTTCTTGGATCATAAAAAAAATAAAATACAAAACAGAAACACCAACAAACCAAAAAAAACCCCCAAAACCATGTATCCAGCATTAACAACAACGAAAAAGAAAGAAAAAGATTGGTGTACAAAAAAGAAAGAAAAAGTAACCCAAATATCAAATAAAATTAACGTTAAGCATACAGGATAAAATCTACCCCGGCTGGATGCTAAAAACAAAAGAGAAAACAATAAATTCTCCCTTCCCTTTACATAGCAGGTCTACAAATAGTTATTAATCATTAACATTGCCAGTTCTGCCACCCTTTGACTGAAATAAATTAATTTGTGCCATTTACTTTCAATATAAGTGATCCAGTTTGGTGTTGTAGTGAAGGTGCTGGCTTAGAAACCAGGAGACCGCGAGTTCTAGTTCTTCCTTAGGTATGAAAGCCAGCTAAGTGACTTTGGGCCAATCACCAGGAGACTGTGAGTTCTAGTTCTACCCTAGGCATGAAAACCAGCTAAGTGACTTTGGGCCAATCACTAGGAGACTGTGAGTTCTAGCTTTAGGCATGAAAACCGGCTGGATGATTTTGAGCCAATCACCAGGAGACTATGAGTTCTAGCTCTACCTTAGGCATTAAAGCAGCTAAGTGATTTTGGGCCAATCACCAAAGATGGTGAGTTCTAGTCCTGCTTTAGGCATGAAAGCCGGCTCTGTGACTTTGGGGCCAGTCACTAGGAGACAGTGAGTTCTAGTTCAGCCTTAGGCATAAAAGCCAGCTAAGTGACTCTGGGCCAATCAATAGGACACTGTGAATTCTAGTCTCACCTTACGCATGAAAGCTGGCAGGATGACTTTGGGCCAATCACCAGGAGACCGTGAGTTCTAGTCTCACCTTTTATGCCTTAGTCGTGGAAAGTTACTATGGGTCAATCATCAGGAGACTGTGAGTTCTAGTCCTGCCTTAGGACAGAAACTGGATGGGTAGCTTTGGGCCAGGTTCTCTGTCTCATCCCAACCTACATTACAGGGTTGTTGAGGGGAAATGGGATGAGAAAGGAATATTACGCATATTTACTACTTTGAGTTAATTGTATGTGTGTGTAAAAACGCAGGATACAAATCTAAGAACAACAATTTTAAAAAGCATTTCAGGGCAACTCATAACCGTTAGCAAAACGTCTTGACTCCAGAACCCTGTCAGATAAGAAAGGAGATATTTTCTGAACAAGTAGATTTTTTTTCCCTCTTGTTGTGTTTTTTTTTTTAATCAATAAGTCTTAGTTTTATCTTGCAAGATTTCTCCAGCCTCCCCGAAGAGGGCTCCTGGCAAATGTAATGCACAGTTGTTGCTGCTGGAAAGCGCTCACAATAAGTTGTGTTACGGCTCCTTGAACTTGTCAAAAGCAGAAGTTATCAAAACGTTGCCGCATGTTTCATGTCAAAGTTTGCAAAAAAGTCACTGTTGGATATGAGGAAACAGCTCAAGTCACTGAAATTCTCAGATGATGAAACCAAATCCTGGAAATTAAGATTGATAGGATTAGCTGCTTTCTGTCTTTTTTTTTAAACTAACAAGGAAAATCCTTTGAGGAATAAAATAAGGTGATGAGATTCAGCTGTTACGGTAGTTTTCTTAAGCAATTTATTATGGTCCGGATCAATTTTTTAAAAAGAAAAATTAACCTGCATAATTAAGGACTATCTATTCCCGTGACGGTGAACCTATGGCACGCGTGCCACAGGTGGCACATGTAGCCATATCAGTGGGCATGCGAGCTCAGCTCTGGTGCAGATGCGCGTGCCGGCCAGCTGATTTTCGAGTCTTCTGGGCCGAAATAGGAAAATAGGCTGTTTCCTGCCTCCGGAGGGCCTCAGGGGGTGGTGGGGAAGGCTTGTTTTTCTCTCTCCCCAGGCTCCAGAGCTTTCTAGGTGCTTGGGGAGGGTGAAAACTGCCTTCCCCCCCCCCCTGGAGGCCCTCCGGAGGCTGGAAATGGCCTGTTTGCCAACTTTTGGTGGGACCGGAAGTCCCATTTTTTGTTCTCCCCCGCCTCCAGAGCCTTTCTAGGAGATTGGGGAGGGCGAAAACGGCCTTCCCCCCCTTCCGGTCCCACCAGAAGTTGGCAAATAGGCCATTTCCGGCCTCCGGAGGGCCTCCAGGGGTGGGGAAGGCCGTTTTCGCCCTCCCCAATCTCCTAGAGAGAGAAACGGGCTTCTCTCTCCTGGCATGCGATGGCTCGGGGGGAGAGCGGGGGGGAGCGGGGGGAGAGCGGGGGGTCACACACGCATGCACGGGGGCGAGGCGCATAGAATTATGGGTGTTGGCACACTTGCGCGCGACACCCCCCCAGTCCCATCCTCCAGGCACGCGATGGCAAAAAGGTTAGCCATTACTGATCTATTCTATGCCAAGGAGAAGCAGTGATCAAATCTAATTTTGCATAAAATCAATCTATCAGATCCAGGTAGTCCTCGACTTACAACAGTTCATTTAGTGACCGTTCAAAGTTACAACGGCACTGAAAAAAGTGACTTATGACCGTTTTTCACAGTTATGACCTTTGCAGCATCCCCGTGGTCATGCGATCAAAATCCAGACATTTGGCAACTGACTCATATTTGTGACGGTTGCCGTATCCAGGGGTCAAATGATCACCCTTTGTGACCTTCTGACCAGCAAAGTCAATGGGGAAGCCAGATTCACTTAACAACCATGTTACTCACTTAACAACGGCAGTGAGTCGCTTAACAATGAGGCAAGAAAGGTCATAAGATGGGGCAAAAGTCACTTCACAACTGTCTCACTTAACAACAGCAATTTTGGGCTCAATTATGGTCGTAAGTCGAGGACTGGATAAGGAGACTGGAAGGAACTAAGCTTAAGTTAGGGAAAGAAGAAAGGAGGAGCTACATTTTTAATTTTTTTAAATTTTAATTTAATTTCATTGCAAGATAAAAATATACAAGAAACAAAAGTTAGGAAAATAAGCAAAGGTAAGAGAAAAATGCTGATAGAGACAAAAAGTAATAACTTCTGACTTTCATCGTTGCAGTAAATTAGAGAAATAATACAGCTTCGACCTTTTTCTTTACATTTTACAACATTTCTATAATCAAAACCTAAAATCAAAAGTTTCATTCCCCCCCCCTCCGTTTTAAGCAGAAAGTCCAGAAGTGGTTTCCAAATAGAAAACAAATATAGATATAGATAGTCTACAACATACGACCACGATTGAGCCCCAAATTTCTGGTGCTAAGGAAGAGAGTTATTAAGGGAGTTTTGCCCCATTTTACAACCTTGCTTGCCACAGTTGTTAAGCAAATGGAAGAACGGAAGGTGAAGTGATGGTGGAGAGAGCAAAACTGACCGTTTTAATTAAGGAGGAGAAGCTACAGCTAATCCTCGACCTACAAATATTTGTTTAGTGACCGTTGGAAGTTACAAGAGCCCTAAAGAAAAGTGATTTATAATCGTTTTTCACACGCGCGACTGTTGCAGCATCCTCAAGGGCACGTGATCAAAATTCAGGTGCCGACACCTGGCATGTCCCAGAGATGCTTTTCTCGAGAGGCCACTGGACTTCCTTGTTCTTTCTTTCAAGACGTTTCGCTTCTTCTCATCCAAGAAGCTTCTTCAGCTCTGACTGGATGGTGGGGAATGGAAGGATTTGTACTCCTTACAGACAGCTGGTCATTTGCATCCTTTTGGAGAGTCGTTGAGGCCGCCTGGAGGTTTACCTGTGTCCTTGGGGGTCACCTGAGTAGTGAAAATGGGTGTGGAGCCTTCTTGGAATTGCTGAAAGGACCGTGTTGTAGACTGAAGAATGATGAGGTCATATCCCTCCTCCTCTGTTGAGAGAGAGGGCTGTTCAATTTGGACATAGATGGCTTTTTTCACCCCTCTTTCAAACCCTGACATCACAGATAAACCTCCAAGCGGCCTCAATGACTCTCTAAAAGAATGCAAACGACCAGCTGTCTGCAAGGAATATACATCCTTCCATTCCTCCACCCTCCAGTCAGAACTGAAGAAGTTTCTTGGAGGAAAAACGAAACGCCTTCAAAGAAAAAAAACAAAGAAAATCCAGTTGCCTCTTGAAAAAGCACCTTTGGGATAAGCGTGACCTGGATGACTGAGCATCTCCATCGTTTTCTGACCCCTGGCATATTAATTATAATTTAATTTAATTAATTATGCTCCATGGCATAGGGCCTAGCTATCTTCGAGACCGCCTGCTGCTACCGACGACCTCCCATCGACCCGTGCGCTCCCATAGAGAGGGCCTCCTCAGGGTGCCATCAGCCAAACAATGTAGGCTGGTGACCCCCAGGGGGAGGGCCTTCTCTGTGGGGGCACCCACCCTCTGGAATCAGTTGCCCCCAGAGATAAGGAGAATCCAAGACCACAGCGGCTTCTGCCGTGCCCTTAAAACCCACTTTTTCCAGCAAGCCGGGCTGGCTTAAGAAGAAATTTTTAAATGTTTTAATTGGTTTGTGATTTTTAATTTTTGGGCCAAATTTATATATATTTTAATTGTTTTTTAATATTTGTATTTCATGTTCTTAATTCTGGCTGTACACCGCCCTGAGTCCTTAGGGAGAAGGGCGGTATATAAATTGGAAATAAAAATAAAATAAATTATGACAGTTGCAGTGCCCCAGGCTCTTGGGCTCACCTTTTGCAACCAGGAAATTTTGGGCTCAGTGGTGGTTGTAATAAGTCGCGGACTACTCGTGCATTGTAACTTTGAAGGGTCATTATATCGTTATGTGGGGTCTACCCGTACGATAAAACCAAGGATTAAAAAGAATTCTTTCCACATTCACAGAAGGGGCCCGGCATCTGGACTTACCCTGCAAACGCTCGTACCTGGAACCAACTTCTTCCCCTGGAGATGACCCCTACTTTCGGTCGCCACCACCCTACGACCAACAGATGTTGAGCCCCGCGTACTGCAGTGATGTGACCCCACGGGAAGCGTGCATGTACTCCGGCTCTGAAATTGCAAGCGTGTCGGGGGTGGAAGATCTGCCTCCTCCCCCACCTCCTCCTCCTCCTCCCCCCCCTCCTCCTCCTCCCCCTCCCCCTCTGAGCTGCAATATGTGGACCTCCGTTGCACCTTACACCAGTTACAGCGTTCAGACCATGGAGACTGTCCCGTACCAGCCTTTCCCCGCTCATTTCACCGCTACCACCATGATGCCACGCCTCCCACCCATCGCCAGCCAAGGGTCCCAGCCGCCGGGCAACAGCCCTTTCACCGTCTATAATCAGCTCTCCCAACCCCGCGAAAGAATCCCTGGATCGTCCTTCCCCAGAGAACGGATGGGCGAGAGGAAGCTCCCGTCGCCCCACTTAAGCGCGGCCAACGAGTTTCTGTACTCCCAGACTTTCTCCTTGTCCAGGGAACCCTCTTTACAGTATCATCCAGGAGTGAGCACAGTGGACAACTGGACTGATGGATGATTCCACGTATCATCACGAGGATTCGATTTGCTGCTCCCGGGCAGTTAATTCAGTGTGAATATCCACGGATGCCTTGCACATCCACATCATCTAAGCAGACCTGTGTTTCTGTGGGCATTGGGGACTTTCTGCGCAACGCCAGAGGAACTTTGTTGGGAGGGGTAGTGGGGGTCGGTTCAGTGGAAGAGATTTGGCTCAGCAACATGGACCCCGTTCCAGTGATCCAGTCAGGTATTTCCCTCTTAGAGAGACGCATCCCTCACTGAGTTCCTGTCAGGCGCAAAGAATCAGGACTACAAATTAAGTTCCAGTTAAACTGATTTATTGCTCATGCCTATACACCAGAGTCCAGTCAAGTAACGTTTAGTACTAAATTGGCACTAGATAAAAGTCAACGGAATTCAAGAGGGGTTGGGCTTAGACTGTTTGTGGGAACATAACGATTCTAGGCTAATTCCTCTTTTGACCCTGCCTCTCCTTCTCTTACAGTTCCTCAAATGCTCAAAGCACTGTTTGATTATCTTTCAAAACCAGGGTCCTCCACTCTATCCAAGAAAAGTCGATTGACATAACTTGGGCTCCCAAATGTGAGGGCAGCAAAAAAACCATATTTTTTTTCCTCCGCTGCGGCCGATTTGCTCTCCAGTAATGATCACTTACCAGCACAAAAAAAACCCCAAAGCCAGCCTGGTTTTTTTTGCTGGCAAGTATCAAGCATGGTAAAATCAGGCAGTTCAAATGAATATAAAGGTTTATTGCAAGCTGATGCTCGCTACAAGAATCTGAACTACTAATGGTCAAAGCAAATTGGCGGTAGATAAGAGTCAGTGGAATTCAGGGTGGGCTGGATGTAGCTCTCTTGTGAGTATGAAGGGATTCGAGGCTGATGGTGCGTTTGACATCTCTCTCGGGCTCAGCCTGGTCATCTACCAGCAGGGTTGTCCAAGTCAAGGCCCGGGGGCAAGATCCGACCCATGGGCTGCTGAGATTTGGCCTACGGGCCCGTCCTGAAAACAGCGAAGGACCAGGCTGCAGTGCCTCTGCCAGTGAAAACGGAGCTCGGGAGGGCCACAGGAGGCCATTACAGTCAGAAATGGAGCTCGGGAGCCCGTTTTCATTGGCAGAGCGTTCGGGCTGCCACAGGCGCCCCCGACGCGAGTGACATTGAGCTGGCCATGCCCACCCCGGCCCCCTGAGGTCAAACACAACCCTGATGCATCCCTCAATGAAATCGAGTTTGACACCCCTGATCGACAGCAAGCAAGATATGGCTCTGAGCGTGAACAATGATGCCGCTATGCGAGCTCCATTCCACAATGGCGTCAGTCAGTCATTGTGGCAGTAGTGTCAACAATCCACCAGGGGGCATCTGTGCGGTGATGTCACATTGCCGGATAAGCTTTGGACCAATCGCGTCTGATTTCAAAGTTGGAATTGGTTTTGCCGCTCACCTATTGGAAGGGCTTTGGGGAGGGGTCTAATGTAACAAAAACAACAGGTTTTTTTTTTTTTTGAGAAAACAGGAAACCGACCTCCCAATATCTTCCCCCTTCAACCCAGTAAGCCAGACACAGCTCTACATCTTGAATTCTGAAGTGTAACACTCTTCCTGGACTTTAGGATAGGGAAAATGCCAAATCCATCTTTTTCTCCCAATAAGCCCGTTTGGACAACAAGCTATGTGATTTATCCAGGGGTGGGATTCAAATACCGTATTTTTCAGAGTATAAGACATACTGGAATATAAAATGCACCTACCTTTTTGGTGAGGAAAAGAAGAAAAAGAAATCTCCCTCTGCCTTTGAGCAATTTTGCCTCTTTGCAGCAAACAGCAAACAGCCTGCTTTACTTTCAGTTTCGTTTTCAGCATAGCTTGATTAGCACAAGGAAAAAAAAAATCTGCTCCAGCGATTTACCTCTTTGCAGCAAGCAGCAGAGCCTTGCGCAAAACAGCTGAGAGCAAATCAGCTGAGAGTCGGGAGGCCGATCCAATCAACTTGTGCTAATTAGGCTGTGCTGAAGCTGAAAGGAGCTGTTTTTTCTTGCTGTTTGCTTGCAAGGAGGTAAATTGCTGGGAGGCAGAGGCCAAAGGGTGGGGGCCAGTGGTGGGCGGGGCTACATTCAGTGTATAAGACGCACCTAAATTTTCACCCCCTTTTAGGGGAGGGAAAGGGTGCGTCTTATACTCCGAAAAAATACGGTAATTTAACAACCGGTTCTCTGCCCTAATGACCGGCTAGATGGGCGTGGCCATGGTGGGCGTGGCCAGGGGTGTGTGACAGGCAGCACACGGCCTCCTGCACCCATCTGGGAGCAAAAACGGGCCGTGGGGGACACACCACCACCACCGTGCCCCGTTTTGGGCCTAGTAGGCTTCCTTGCACTTACCTGGGAGCCAAAACAGGACGTGGAAGGGGGCGCCGCACCCCCGAGCCCCGTTTTGGGTCTAGGAGGCCTCCCTGCACTTACCTGGGAGCCAAAATGGGACATGTGGGGACTCAGGGGAGGGGAGGGGAGAGCCAGCAATTTAACAACTGGTTTGTCTGAATCCCACCACTGGATTTATCCTTGGGTGTAAATGGGTGGCGCTCAATTCTCCAGCTTTTTGGTTTACTGGTGACTTCCAACGGCTGCTAATCGGAATGTTCAGAACACAGAACCATCGGGCTGGAAGGGGCCCTGGAGGTCTTCTAGTCCAACCCCCTGCTTATGTAAGAAACCCTATACTATTTCAGACAAATGGTTGACCAATCTCTTCTTAAAAACCTCTGAAGGCAAGCCGTTCCACTGATTAATTATCCTCACTGTTAGGAAATCCCTCCTTAGTTCTAGGTTGGATTTCTCTTTAATAACCTTCCACCTGTTGCTTCTTGTCCTAAACTTCCTGAAGCACCGGAAGGCAGGACAGGAAGCAACGGATGGAATCTAATCAAGGAGAGAAGCAACCTAGAACCAAGGAGAAATTTCCTGACAGGAAGAACAGTTAATCGGTGGAACAGCTTGCCACCAGAAGTTGTGGGTGCTTCATCACTCAAAGTTTTTAAGAAGAGATTGGACAACCATTTGTCTGAAATAGTATAGGGTTTCCTACCTGAGCATGGGGTTGGACTAGAAGACCTCCGGGGTCCCTTCCAGATTCTATTCTATTCTATTCTATTCTGTTCTGTTCTGTTCTGTTCTGTTCTGTTCTGTTCTGTTCCGTTCCATTCCATTCCATTCCATTCCATTCTTCATTCCAATATTCTATTCTATTCTATTCTATTCTATTCTATTCTATTCTATTCTATTCTATTCTATTCTATTCTATTCTATTCTATTCTATTCTTACTTTGGGTGCCCTTGGTTTGAAGGACAGGGAGAAGACCCCCTCCTAGCTACAATGCACCCCATTCATGCTTAAACCTAAGCCATTTAGGACATTAGGAGACTGATCATCCAAAAAGAAGAATTTATAAAACGGAGTCGCTTTTAAAAGTGTGAAATAGTTCTCCTCAAAAGTTGCACGGCCATCCCAAAAGTCGCCGAGACCCCAGATTTAATCTCCCACAAAGAACCTCTGGATTAAACTCTAGCACGAGCTGTGTTAAAAAAAAAAGAACTCAGAAGTTTAGACTGCAAGAATTTGCCTTCTGCATTTCCCAAGAGCAGAAATAAACCAGCGTCTTTCTGCCATTTGTAAGAAGCAAAATTCTAGAGATGCTAAATTGTGCTGGATAAAACCGAAGAAATATGAGGTCATCTTTTCCTGCTTTCGTGGCTTGCAGAGAATGGAATTTCCGCTCTTGGGGACCCCCAACCCCCACCCCCGCAACTCGAGCGATGCCTCTTAATCCATCCCTTAATCCTGAGGCTCAAGCGAGAACCAGAAAATTATTGCAGAAAATTATTCAAGCTAAACTATAAACACAGAAGCTGTGAATTTTAAACCTGTTGCTCAGAAATATTATATAGCCGTAGCTAATTCAGCAAAGGATGCAGTGACGCCTAATCAGAAACTATCCAGCTATCCCAGAATAACAGTAGAGTTTAGTCTTTCCCAACTTGATGCCCTACAGGAATCTGGGGCAATTCTGGGAGCACCAGTAGCCACACTTTTGCTGGCTGGGTGACTTTGGGTCTATCACCGGGAGACTGTGAGTTCTAGTCCCGCCTTAGACCTGAAAGCTGGCTGGGTGACTTTGGGCCAATCACCAGGAGACTGTGAGTTCTAGTCCCGCCTTAGACCTGAAAGCTGGCTGGGTGACTTTGGGCCTATCACCAGGAGACTGTGAGTTCTAGTCCCGCCTTAAACCTGTAAGCTGGCTGGGTGACTTTGGGCCTATCACCGGGAGACTGTGAGTTCTAGTCCTGCCTTAGACCTGTAAACTGGCTGGGTGACTTTGGGCCAATCACCAGGAGGCTGTGAGTTCTAGTCCTGCCTTAGACCTGAAAGCTGGCTGGGTGACTTTGGGCCTATCACCAGGAGACTGTGAGTTCTAGTCCTGCCTTGGACCTGAAAGCTGGCTGGGTGACTTTGGGCCTATCACCAGGAGAAGATGAGTTCTAAGTTGTGCCTTAGGCATGAAAACCAACTGAGTGACTTTCTGTCAGTCTCCCTCTCTCAGCCCAACCCACCTCACAGGGTTGTTGTGGGGAAAAAATAGGAGGAGGAAGGGATATGTCTTACCCCTGCCACCTTGAGTTATTTATAAAAATAGGAAAGGCAGGATAAAAATAAACAAATGAACAAAATATACCCATAGTGGAAGTCAAACAATAATTTTCGAAGCATCCAATGCATGGTAGCTCGGCTGGAATTATTCGTATTCTTAGCTTTTTAAAGAAGAATCTAAGATGGAAAAGTTAACGCACAATCTAAGCCAGGGGTCTCCAACCTTGGCAACTTTTAAGACTTGTGGACTTCAACTCCCAGGATTCCTCAGCCAGCAAAGCAAAGCTGGCTGAGGAATTCTGGGAGTTGAAGTCCACAAGTTGCCAAGGTTGGAGACCCCTGATCCAGTGGTGGGTTTCAAAAAATTTTACTACTGGTTCTGTGGGCGTGGCTTGGTGGTTGTGGCAGGGGAAGGATACTGTAAAATCTCCATTCCCACCCCACTCCAGGGGAAGGCTACTGCAAAATCCCCATTTCCTCCCGATCAGCTGGGACTTGGGAGGCAGAGAATAGATGGGGGCGGGGCCAGTCAGAATTTTTACTACCGATTCTCCGAACTACTCAAAATTTCCGCTACCGTTTTTTTCTGCTACCGATATTTTCCTATCATCCAGTTTGCTAAAAAAAAAAAGGGGTATTTTTCATCCAGAAGATTGTCTGTTCTTTTTTCTTTTCTTTTTTTAAAAAAGAAAATAATAATCAAAATTGGGGCATCATTACCAATGTTGCATGCTGAATAGTTATTTATATACTTATATA